CGTCGCTGGCCGGGTACGGATCTCGGGGACTGCCCCGCCAGCGTTTCACATTCGAATTCACCTTCCCAAATCCACGGCATCATTTTTGGCCAAAGCAGTGTCAGTCATTGCCGTCTGCGGCGAGTACAAAAAGGACCCCCTAACGGCAGCCATTTTTCGTTGTTTCTTAAGATCCAAAGGCTGCTGAAAGAACAATTGGATAAAGTTGAGGATTGGAGAAGCTTGATTTTCTTGTTCCAGTGAAATGAAACTCCCGTCCTTTTTTTCTTCCCCTTCCCCTTAAAAGCCGGAGTCTGCTAGGGGGTTGTAGCTGTGTCAAAGCCGTTGGGATGCCACTGCTGATCACTTTAATTACTAGGACTAAGGAGGATAAAATTAAAAGTAGCACCATTGAAGCAGTGGAAGAAAGCTTGCCGAGATGTCGGTGAACTGTGAAATATAAAAATTGCATACCAATACATTTTTATAGGAGGGAAACAAGGAATTACATTACTTATTCTTGAAGAGTTTGTCCTTAAATGGTGAAGTTTTCCTCGCTGTGCACCCGCGTGGCAGATCTTTAGACCATTACAAAGTAATTGGGGGAAAATAACAGAGCAAACTTTAATGTCTCTTTGGCATGTCAGGTTCATGTCAGAGGGTGAAAGATTTTACTGAGTTTTCTCTTCAAACCATCCAGGAAAAAGAAAATCCCTGTATGTGCGCTCGCACGGTCTGTTCTTGGTGCAGTCTCCTTTTTGTTGTTGTTGTTGTGGGGTTTTTTTTTTTGTTTAATACCTGGGTTCATGGCTGCATACCTCTCCCGAGCACTTTCCTTTCCAAAATCTAGGGGGTCGATTTGCTGTTTAGTAATTGTTCTGCGCCTCAAAACTTAACCCACCTGCTTTTTCTGCTCTGGGTTTCGTTGCTGCTTCCACCAGCGTTTCCTCTGCCCAGCTCAGTAGCCAAGGGTTCAAACGCCCGACTTGAATTTAAGCAAGACCTAGGCTGGTTTTGCTCTTATCGGCTGGTGGTGGTTGGCTTAATCAGCACAAACACGAGGCACAATAATCAGTGTTTGCTTGGAGATCCCCGGGATGTTAATGACTATGCTAATAATTGAGGGTACAAGTTCTCTTTCGGGAGGGGGGGACTCGACCTGCTCAGCTCCGGGCGTTTTTGTCACCAACACGTAACTGGCCTTGTTGTAAACTACGCGTGCTGTAGTAGATTAAATTGTTTGACGTTAAACCCCATGGGAATCTTAATATAACTTTTGCGCATCGCTTCTTAAAAGTCCTTTAAATCAAACCCACAAGTTCTGGGAATTACGAATGGTAGAGATTTGAGCAGTTTTATTTCGTGTAAAATTCCGTGTAATTAATGTTACCGAATACTGCGGGTCAAAACAAAATCGGTTGCCGTGTCAGTTGGCTGGCTAGAAATTAAATTAAATTGATCTGTTACAGTGCGTAGGAGCAGGGGGGGAAGCTCTCCCGTTGGCTCTCCCCAGTAAGTTTTTGCTGGAGCTTTGCTCTGGGCCTTGCGGGAGGCGGAGGGGCGCGAAGGCGAGCGATGCCCTGCGCCCACCGCCCCGCTCGCCCGCCAGGGAAGGGCGGTAGGGGAAAAGCAAACCAAGGCAATCTGATAGGGAATAGGGCTCTGTCACTCAGGGACAAGATATTGCGCTGTGTCCATAGACTTTGTTTACTGTAGGGTTTTATGAGTTGTAACCTGCCCATGCAAGCTGTTAATGAGGCTAAATCTCGCTGCTTGAGGATTGAATTACAGCACACCTCTGGGCTAATGGCTATAAACAGCAAGTCCCATTAGGGCTGCATTCGGATTCAGTCATTTGCATTTTTTCTATTGTGCCGAGAACAATGCTGAGTAAATAGCTACAAACAAACAATTTACATGGAAATGGGTAAAATGTACCTAATTAGTATTTTGCGCTCGTTTTATTAATGATTGCTTAAACTAAATAGCGCTTAGGAGCAGCTCTCTCCAGCATCTGCAGGTGTGGGATGCTCAGTCCCTGGGCTGGGGGGCGGGGGGCTGCCAGGCCGGCTCTCCAAAATTAGGGACTTGGTTGGATTCCACTTCGGTCGGGTCAACTGCCCCTACCTGGGTTTTACCCTGGTCCTTAGGTCAATGGGCCGAACTTATCCGCAGGCTCGACTTAAAGCCAAATGCTGACTTTGTTGCGCTTAGGAGCATGTCTGATATTGAGGGGAGGGGGAAAACGGTCCCGGTGTTGAAAAAAATCGTATTTTTAAGGTGAAAACTCAAATAGTTTCTGTTCTGGGTTGACGGATTCTTACAGATGTGTTTAAACACGTCTTTTTATTAACACTTTAGTATGGTGAGTTAGTCTTTTCTGAAATTTCATGTTGTAGAACTTTGCTCATTTCTGTCACTGAAATATGAATCGCGCTTCTGAGCTAGTTGGGACAGCACTACCTGGGATGCTTCCAGTGCCGTCTCTTTAATTACTGACCAAAGCCCCGCTAGTAGGATGTTTTAAAGCGATGCAAAGTCTTATCTGCCCTGGCATCTATTGTTCTTTCGTTACTTTTCATTAGTTTACTTTTTTAAAAGAAAAGGTGTATCAATTGAAGTCGAAGGATTAGATTCCTTTCCATGCCTCAGATTCGATGTTGCTTTATGCTTTGAAGTCAGCTTGGTGACTGGGGTAACCGAGAGCAACATCTGGCTTCTCATTTCGGCTCTGTGAGAGAATATTACTCAGACAAGTAATTCCATTTACTGAATCCATTTTTATAGCCACGGTAAAACTTTTTGTAGCTATTGCTTGGAGACAAAAGTGTCTGAAAATTTTCATCAAGGTATTTTTATTGAACATAATTTATCAGTGCTTTAGATTGCAAATAATTAGGTTTCTAATGCATTAATAATTTGGGGAACGCTTTAAAAAAAAAAATCTGATTCATGGATGTCTTTAAAAATCATGGTGTGACACCCAACTGATATCGAGCATCCTATTTATAATGTGGGCCAAGCACCATGCTGTAAACCAGTTACTATCATGATGATCAGATTGAGAATGAAATTGCATTTCTGTCAATTACTGAGTTGGCAACTGTTCAATATATCTTAGCAGCAAGATGAAGAGCGGCGTCGGCAGCTGAGAGAGAGAGCTCGTCAGCTAATAGCAGAAGCTCGATCTGGAGTGAAGATGTCAGAACTTCCTAGCTACAGTGAAATGGCTGCAGAAAAGTTGAAAGAAAGGTCAAAGGCATCTGGAGGTGAGCTGAGGAACCTTGTATCTTATTCCTATGGCAACCTAGAAACCAGAGACCTTTTGGGGTATCGCTTTTATTCACACTTCAAACCGTTGCTTCAAATTCACACTTCAAATTGTTGCTCATCAGGTGCACGTGTCAAAAGGCCTGGCCGTAGATATGTTTCCTAAATCAGCGTTGTGTCACTTAATTTCCAACAGTTAAAAGAAAAGTGTGTATGCGATGGAAAGAAAAAGATGCGATGTGAACAAGTAGCTCATGTTGCCCTGTTATTTACAGATTTGTCATTACCCACCGTTCTTTAGATTTTATGATTGTTGGTTAAAATCTCTTCAATATGTTTTTTTATATGGGAGCGTGGACATAATTGTGGGGGAAAACAACAATAGAAATACTTAAGAAACTTTATTTTGTATTAAATGTGATCAAAAGACTGCTGGGGAAGAGAATTTTAAAGGCGGCCCATGGGAGGTGGGGGCAACAGCCTTTTGATTTTAAATGGCAGTCTTTTGACATACCACTTGCCTTTACAGATTTGAGTTGTAATATTGCTATAATGTTATTAAACTGACTTTGAAATGTCATTAAAATTCATATACCTGCCAGTGCTACGAGCTGCGGTAATGTAGTGTCACTCAAACTCAAATGGGTCCTGAGCACACGTTTCGGTACAGGCTTCTTGCTCTTTTAGTGTCTTCTGCATATTCTAAGGGGAAATTGTGTTTCTCATACTAACACGTAATTGTAAGCCAAAGTGTCAGGAAAATCCAGCTTTATGTTCACACTGCATGTAGATACAACAGTATTTTTTTTCTTCTCTACTACATGCATGTATGTTTAAATATAGACTTGTTGCACCCGAAACCCTACACTTCTGTTCCACTTAACACCAAAGAGAAAAGCCGTTAGTTGTACCTCTCCCTTTGGGTCTGGTCTTCAGTTTTCCTCTCTTTGCCCAGTAAACCAAGCTTGCCAACATAACTCTCCTTCGTGATAAATAGGGAAATTATGTCCTTGGTGGGGAGGGAGTAAGACAGGCTGAGCAAAACGGCACAATTCTTGTATATTAAGTAGATTATGGTGTTCTGCATCTCTCTTCACAATTTATGACTCCCAACCCTATGTTATTTAATTACTTCCTCCTCACTGTTTTATCGTGTCTGTACGTAGCTGTTCCTGCCGTCTCTCCCCTCCAAGAAAGGTACACTTTCTGGGCATATCCCGAGGGCTCGGCTGTATAGCAGTTACCCGGATTTGTCGCAGTGACGCCCTTGTGCTGTTGGTGAATATCCCGGTATGCTGCTTGCTGGGATGAGGCCTTCCCTGTTCTTGTTTTCCTCTGAATTTTGCCATTGCTCTTCCTGCTCATTGTTCAGGTTATAAACAGTCTCAGAGGTAACAGTGCACTGTGCATATACATTAAAAAAAAAAAAATTTATATAGAAAGATGGCATATGCACTCAGAGAATTGCAGTGTTGTTAAAGGAGACGATACCAGTAGAAAAAAAAAAAAAATTTATATAGAAAGATGGCATATGCACTCAGAGAATTGCAGTGTTGTTAAAGGAGGAGACGGTACCAGTAGTGATGACAACTAGTTTGTAAAGTTGTCACCAGTATACCTGTTGGGTTTTATTCGGTAGAACAATTTCACTGCTTTCTACTTTTCCGTGTGCTTTGAGTTACCTCCTTGGTTTATAATTCCTACCTTGATTTGTCTTCGTTCATATAGTAGTTCAGCCAAACTATCTGAACTTCTCTTGGACTTCCAGTTTTCATTCCCTGTCTCCTTTTATTCCTCTTTGCTCTTTTCACATCAGTGTGCATTTGATAGCGTTTCCTTCTACTTCTTCTCCAAAAGCTTTCCTCATGGCACATCTTCCATGTGCTTCTACCACACCGCTGGTAATGTCAGGTGCCGCACTGCATCTCTGCTCAAGGCATTAATTCTTCTAAAATGGAGTAGTTCTGTGAAATTGCACCAACACTTTATAAACCAAATAAATTAGAATTATTTCTGGGTTTAGTCTTTTTCATTTTTTGATTTCCACCAAAAATGAGGATTTAATAGTCTCCTTATTGCCGCTGGATTCTGAAGGTTGCCCCTGACTGCATTCACATGTAGTAGTTTTTTTTCAGTGTATGGTCCTGTATTCCCTATGCGATGCCCAAGACAAGCTTATAGTAACATCTTACGTCTTCCGAGCTCTCTTGTCCATTATGCTTCATTAATCTCTTCTGCATTGATTGCTACGTTTTAATTTACAAAAAGGGAGTGTACCAAATAATTTTCCTCTCTCTCAATTCAGTTATTCCAGGAAAAAAGAGACGTTTCAGCTTTGGGATTTTGGAGTTTTTAAAGACTAACTTCTTGCTCGCTATTGTAGGTGAAAATGTGATCTCTTTCAGTGTTTCTGTATGCTCGTTCAGAGTTTCATGCCTTGGCACTGGTGCGACATTCTCTGTTAAAAGGCTTTATTTAATCATGGTCTGAAAAACTCCAATGCCTATGGTAAGTTGAAACTTTCCTGGATAAGCAACGTCCTTTGCTACAAAATCCAGTCTTTTTCATAGGTTATTTGGCATGTGAGACAGAAAATACTTCTTCCTGCCAACTGCCAGAGGGTTTGGGATGGCAGCTTCAAATTTATTAGATGTCCTACTAGCTTCAGGCTGATAAGCGAATGCCTTGAGATGGGTCCAGGGACAGTATCGAGATAGGAATTCAAATATCCTCCCTTTTCCCAGCAGCGACGGGACAAAGGAATTGACATCTTATCTAGGTATTGTCCCCGTGCAGTGGGAGACCCGTCTACTCTTCTGGGATTTGGGTAGTGTGTTCTCTTTACTCTCTGGCACATCTCCATCCTTCATTTGAGATGGCGTCTTTGTGAGGCTGTGGCTGGGATCTGGAGGTGGTGAGAAGGCAGCGGAGGCAGGGAACAATGGAGAGGACAGGGGGTAAGACAAGCATAGTGTGAAGAGGCTTTGGTGACAAAAGTGCCAAAATTAGGCAAAACTGGGGCGGGGGCGGGGCAGGGAGAAAAGAATGAACACAAGAACGGCACAGAAAAGTGGTGTTAGAGGAGCAGGGAGGGAAAAACACAGGAGAAGCAGCATGCAGATGTATTGTAAGACAAAAAAAGTTTTCAAGAATTTTGGAATTAAGAACAAAAGCTGCAAAGGTGTACTGCAATTAAAAAACGTACCAAAGAGAGCCAGCTGGCATGGCATTGCACTTGTACATGTAAAGTTTTCAGGGTATGTTACAGATTTTACTTCTGAGGCAGTGATTTGGAGGGAATGTACGTGGTAGCTCCGGCTTACTCATCATGCTTAGTCTCTGACTCATAAAACAGTGTTAAGTCCCCGATTTAATATTTTTAATGGGCAGTATTTCTATCTGTTGGCAGTTACTGCTGTACTTTCTTGTCCTGACATCTGATTTCTTGTACGCTGAAGCAGTATGTCAACTCTGCACTTCTTCCGTTCCCCACCTTTGCTTCCTTTATTGCTGTTCACATGCTCCTGGCACGTCCTGTAGCCTTAAAGTGAACTCTGTACCTGAAAGTGGATAAACTAAATATCTGAATATCCACAAGCCTGAAGGATCTCCCAGAGACAATCCTGGAGGGCGGAGGCATCTTCCCTAAAGAGCAAGTACTGTTCGTGCAACTCCAGTGGCAGCTTACGTATGCTTCTCCCTCTAATGTGATCCATCCCCCATCAGTGCTCTTACCTCTCTCTGAAAGTTGTTCCCTTTTACTTTCATCTAGAAATTGATGCAGTCTGCTGCAACTCCTTCACATGCGGACAAGCTTAAACCAAGTCAAGAGAATATCAGTTTAACCGCAAATTAAGCCTGAGCTTAATCCGAATAGTAAGACACATGAGTAAAATGCCTCTGGATCTTTGTTCCACCAATATTCTGGCGTTTCCATTTGGTTCCAAAAGATTCTTATTTTGCTCTCTTCAGCCCAGACTGCAGTCCAGGCTGTGTAGGTAATGGTCAGTGCTGTGTAGTTGTTGAGTTAATCCTTTATCTTTAATTTTGTTCGTTTCTTCACAACACAGTAAAGCCTTGCTGTCTTCCTAGGATCCGCATTTACATCCTTTTCAAGGAAGCAGTTCTTTAGTACTCTTCTAAATACGTGCCCTGGTTCTAGACCAAGTGCTTTAAGTTTTTCACACTAGTAATTTGTTCTTTTCATAAAAGATATCTGTTATCTCTTCGTCATGTTGTTCCTTTTATCATTTATAATTGCAAAATCTTGTTGTAACATGCTCCCTAAACACATTTCCCTTTTTAATACACTGGAAGAACATTGGACTGGAAAAAAACCCCTAAAGTAGTTTAAAACAAGCAATCTGTAGATTTTGAAAGATATTTGAAAATTTCTGAAATTACTTCAAATGAATGCTTTTAATTGAATTTTTTTTTTTTAATAAAGTGTAAATGTCCTGATAATCATATTCAGTCGAAGCCTGCCAACTTCAAATTAAATACTAGGTCGGGTCATTATCTGACACTAGGAACTGGTGTCTTCGACATTCCCATCTCTTTTGTTACCTAAAATGGTGGTGTCAAAGGCAGTGCCTCTGATCTCATCTTGCTATATTAAATTAAAGAAAATCAAATAATCTAATATAAGCATTCCCTTAGTATGCAGCAGTCTTAAACCCTGTCATCTTGTTTAGATTGTTTTGACACATCCAGCATCCTGCTGGCTGACTGGTGCTTGTGAGCTGACCTTGCGAGCTGACTTCTTCGGGGGCTTTGGAAAGTCATTGCCTGCCTCTAGGCTCGCGGTGGATTCGGTTTCCCTCTTTCTTTCTCTTCCACCTCTTCCAAATGTGGAAGAACCATCTGTGTGAATTGAAGTGGGAACAGAAAGGATGTCGCAGAGAGTCCGGAGTGTTTCTGCCCACCCAGTTGTACACCTGAAGCACCATCTGCCAGGTCCCAGGTCTGGTCGCAGATCCTGGTTTGGCTGGGGAGTGATGCTCTTCTCCATCCATCTGGCTCAAGCTGGGGCAGTTTGGAAGAAAGCTGACGCTTCCAGGGACCACTGAGAATTAGTGGAGAGGAGCCCAGGGGAAGTCGTGGTGGTCAGCCGAAACGGAGGGGTCCTACTTCACAGGCTGCTGCTCCGTCCTACATGCAACAGATGTTGAATAAGACACTGAAATGGAAACGTCTTTGCTCCTGTCTGTCGCAGCAAGAGCCTTACTCTGAATTGGCAGAGGTCTGCCAAAGACATTGATTAATTACAGAGGAATTGAGGGAGCAGCTGGTTAGAAAAGAAGAGCAGACATATAAAAAAAGCCAACAGGCTCCTAGAATGGGAATTATAGCGACTGTAGAGATAGAGGTAAAGGAAAGAAACAACTGTATGACCTTCGTGTCCACAGTGTGGGCCTGAAGTGCAAACTTTGGGTCTGGGGATAAAGTTTAGTGTATTTCAAAGACAGATGATGAATGATCGGCGTCAATCCTGGTCCAAACTTCCCCGAACCTCTGGCATTCAGGATTATGGCATCTTGGTACTATGTTTAGAATCTTTTTTTTTTAATATGGCGTTTGAATGTACCAATGTCCTGTAATTATAATTAGTATTTTTTCCTATTGTGAAGTGTTTTAAAGTTCCTTTAGTTACTATATGCATCTTCTTTCTCCAGACACACTCCAGCCTTCTCTTTTTTGCCATTTTTACATGCATGCAGAGATATGTAGGAAAAAAATGTTCATATAAGTCTGAACAAGCGTAGATAGCGTTTGATATGAGACTTAAAAGTGAGTAAATACAATGCAGCTACACGCTCTGAAAGTACTAATCTAGCTTTTATGGACTTTAATTTCATTATATATTTGTATTGAAAATGCGAGTCAGGATTTTTTGGGGGATCTGCTACACAATTCAGCACTTGCTATTTGATCTTCCTCAGGTTCTTTCTTACTCTTTCTGTGCCATAATTTGCCTACATCATCCTCATAATTGTAATTATAATAATCACCTACTTCATAAAACATTATGGGGCTCATTTACAAGTGATATTCATAAGCTGCTCTGAGAAACTCGGTAGAAAGATCCCATAAAAAATATAAAGTATAATTACAATTATTATTTCATTTAAAATGTATGTAGCTTACAAACAATGCTGATTCAAAGTGGTGCAGTAAGGCAGCAATCGGTGAGCGAGCTCTTGCTACACCTGGGGCCAGCGCTTGCTAAGCGCGATGTTCAGGGGGTAGTTTTCCTCCTCGGATCAGAAGTGGTAGGAGACGCCAGCGCCTAAGCACGGTACATTGACCGCTGCTCTGTGCTGTCTTCTGCAAAGCAAGGAGCAGCAATGCTCACCGAGCTGGGAGCTCAGCACCCCGGGCTGCTGCCTTTCGCAAGAGACCACAGCTCCCAGGTCCTTCTTGGCCAGACCCATCCGAACCTGCCGTGGGTGCCTCCAGCACCCCCTCTGCGTCACAGAGTGCTGGTGAGCCTAGGGGAAATTATTTTGACTCGAGTTATAAGGAAAAGCATGTGTGCTTTTCAGAGTTAGCCGGAGATTTGGTGCCGAGAACAGTGAAGAGCCGCTGCTGAAGCCAGACTCTACCTTTATTGTAGCAGGAGTTTCTAGCGGAGCCCCCTGTGTGTATATTGAATTGCATCAGTTTAAAGATAAACCCACGAGTGGACAGAGTGAAATCTCCTTCTAGACTTACTTAACGATTTGCATTTTTATCATAAGTCAGCTTGTTCTCTAAAGCATTCTTTTTTTTTTTTAAGTGATGTGGTGCATGTACATAAGAAAATACTAACCTTAATGCTGTATGTTCCTACAGATGAGGATGAGGATAATATTGAGATAGATACTAACGAGGAGGTTCCTGAATGCTCTGTTACTGGAGGTGGAGATGAGCTTACTAACCTAGAAAATGACCTTGATTCAACGGGTAATTTAAACAATGGCTATTTTGTGTATTTTGCATGACTAACGCTCCATCATCATATAAGTACTGATGTGCTGCTTCTCTCTGTCATAGCCTTATTCCTTTGTGCCTTTTCAGATCTTTTAAACCCTAATGCTTATTCTTTTTGAATATTTTGCATTCGTGTTTAGTTGCAATCTAAAATCGGCAACAAAATCATTATTTCCAACAATGGCAGATTTAAATGTCTCTTGCTGTCGGATGGGGAAGGGGACCCCAGGCCAGATTTGTCAAGCAGAGCCACCTGAAATCGCCCTGCCTGGGTTGTCCCAGCAGAGCCAGGTAGGCAGGCCAGAGGAGCGAGGGATGGATCGCCTTGGTGAGTACCGCGGCCGCTCTCTGCGCTGACGCCTTGGCCCGGCTGCGCGGTGAAGAGGAGCGAACATCTCTCTGTGTCCGTGTAGACTTGGTAGCCCTCAGGTTCCCTCCCAAGGACCAGTTCTTGTATTTATACGTTGTTGTTCCAGTGGGAGCATGGAGGTATAAATTTGAATGGAATTAGCCCTATTTACTTTACGATGTTCAAATAATAGGTTGGGTTTTTTAATAACGCATTTTAAAAGCGTTCATGTTCTTGTAGAAATGCTTTTATAATCACATTGCATGCTGGGGAAGTAATAAGTCATAGTAGTGGTAGTTCCCCTTTCAAAAATAATCAATCAAAACTGGAGTTCGAGTGATAAATATGATGATAAATATCTCCTGAGTCTTACAAGGGAGATGCTTATTTCAAAAGGAGCTCGATCTTCGAAGAGGCCGAGGTAATTGCCCATCAGTAAGGGCCATCTCTGCTCGCAGAGAGTTGCTGAAGGAGTTTGTTCTCTGCCCGTGCCAACTGGACCCAAGTGCGTAGCCCATAATATATTAAATCAAAACACTTCATTTAGTGTTTGCTCTTTGTAAATTAAACTGACAATCGTGTGTATGTAGCACTTTTCTTTCTAGTCTTTTTTTGAATGAGAAAGATTTGAGTCACGTCCTTTTTTTTTTAATTATGTGTTTGGAAATCCTCAAATAATAAGAAAATATATTCAGTGTTTCCAGCATTAGAATGAAGCTGATTTAGAGGAGAATCCCATCAAATAATTTTCCAATAAATACTGGTTCATTTTAAGAGAAATAGAAAAATCAGTAAATGAATATTCCTGTCACATAGGCCCAGTGACTTACCAACATTTATTTCTGTGGGCCTTTTTTCCTGAGAGATACCTTCTCAGGGATACAAACCCCCTACCCTATGCTTCATCTCCACCATGGGAAGACATTCTGGAAAAAAAACCTGGGACATCATTTTACCCTTCGGTCTGCACAGTAGCCAGAGGTACAACTGAGTAAGGAAGAGGATGGGCAGTAATACAGAAAGCAGTCTAATCCTGTGATAGAAATCAGTGTACATGGATTTTGGTGGAATTCTGCCAATTCATACCAAGTTCCAATGAAGGCTGAATCTCCTGGGAGCACCTAAAGGCAAAACTGTAAGGGACATTTCACATTTGGGATCATTAGTGACCCCATCTTAATTAATTTGTCCCCTGCTGAATCTTAGTCCCTCCCATCTCTCTCATCAAGAGAAAACTTTTTTTTAAAATTTTTGCTGCCAGTTGTTGGTTTTCAATATTGCATCTGTCTGTATTTGTCAGTACTACCGCCATAGGCTGCTGTGAATGTATCTGATAAAATGTGAACCTCTTATATCATAGTTATTACACGGTGTTTATGTATGAACCCACGAGAACGTGCATGTACTTACATGTGAGCCTCAATTAAGGACACCCTGACTGGGTGTGCCAGAGGGAAGGGAAACCATCCTTCGTCATAACCCAACCCAGCCCGTTGCTGCTGGAGGCAGGCATCATTCGGTTGCCGGCACGCCAACAATATTTTGGCTAGCATGAATTGGAGCGCTCCAAACCTTGGACGGAGCGGTGTGGCAGAACGGCCATGGCTCCACCTCCCACACCGGCTACAAGTCACCAGCCCGCGGTGAAAAACTCCGGCTGTGCCTATAAAAAAACATACCGACCGCTATTTTCTCTGCATTTGACCCAGAGCCCAGATGTACGTGCATAGTATACGCAGGGGATGCTGCATTCGCTCCAATTCAGGGGCGATTTCTCGCGTGGTGCTGCATGTAGAGTCCACGTCTGGGGGCTTCTGCGCCAGCGTTACTCTGCTTTCGCCCCGTAGAGCTGCGCTGCCGTTTGTTACTAACACCTTTCTCCTTATCGTGTGTGTATGTGTAGGTAGCTCTGGGTGTGGGTGTGTTACAAGTGCGTATAGTCAACGGTCACGTATAGAATGAGCATTACTGGGAGGTAAAATTCTCAACTATTATTTCTTGGGGCTCTGATCCAAGTTGCTAAAACTGATGAAAAAAATTTAGGGACTTCGGCAGACTCTGAATCTGTCCCATCGATCCAGTTCTGAAGTGTTTTACGGCTCTCCCAGCTTCAACATATTCTATAAATCATAGTAAAATATTACTAGAAAGCTGTCTCTTTTGATACTGAAATTTTAACGTTGAGAAGCTGTGCTAAGGAGCCTTAGGATGAATTAGTAGTTGATAAACTCGAGGGGTTATCAGTACATAGAATACGTGATCAATTGTTACCTGTCATCTTAAAACAAATGGCTGTTTAAGTGTGTTTTTATACCAAAGTATAAGTATGTATAAGTTGGGAGTAACTTAAACACTGTCTGCTTTCTGTGGTTTGCATCTGCTGTCTTCAGGCATGTTTACTTGTTCAGCTGAGTGCTGTGTATATTTTTTGAGAAAACTTAGGAATTATCTGTGTACATTACAAAAATCTATGCCAATCTGAATCGCAAAAAAAATAATTTTCCTTCTGGTTTTTACTTTTTTAGTTTGAAATGACAGCAAAGTAAATTAAATCTACCTTTTAAATTGCTACATTGTTGTAGCGACTCTGCATTTAAATGCATCTCACTCTGTTGTATGTGGTATTTGCATATTTAGCAGAACAAAACAGTAAGTTGGTGGATTTGAAGCTGAAGAAGCTCCTAGAAGCTCAGCCACAGGTGGCAAATTCACTCTCCAGTGCTGCTCAGAAAGCTGTAACTGATAGCTCAGAGCAAGACATTAAGGTAAGTTTTGATTAATGCTTTTGTCTCAGTACCTGTGTGTTCCGATTTCAGGTTTGTACTTTGTGAGGAGGAAAATGATTTCTTATCAAATCCTTCACAGTAAGAAACGCAGAAAATCTTGATGGCAGCGCAGTTGCGTAGTTTGTAATGCGCTGGGGTTTTTCCTCTTGGGTAATCAACATGTTTCACTTTTTTTTTTCTTTTTTCTTTGATCTTGGTCCTTGCCATTAACATAACACTAACAGATAGGAGGAGCATCTCTCCATTCTGACTGCTCGGGTTGTCACTTACATTGGAAGTGCAGCACGGGCTCCATCCTGCTGCTGGTGCAGCCAGCAGCCAGACTCTCCCTGACTTTCACGGGAGCAGGATTGGACTCCCAGTGATTTGCTTCCCTCCCAAGCCTGACTCTCTGTTTTTTCGCCGTTAAAATTAAGCCGTGGTACCCTTTAAAGGCATACATACATACTCGGGTGCTTGACGACGAGTGCTTCTGAGAAAAATAGACACAAGTAAGCGGTGTATGCGGTCATTTTGCCTATTCTTAATGTTCACCACTTCAGCATAAAGCGCACACCAATCAATTTTCCATTTCATTTTCTTAATTAGATCCCTTGTGTTCTTACCTTTTTTTTTTTCTTTTTTTTTTAAATAGTCCCTGTATGTCATTAATATCCCTATGGCTCTGGGGCACTTCCAGTTGGGTATAACTTTTCACCCACCTGCAGCCTGTGGGGAAAGCACTGCTGACTGAAAGGATTTCCTTCCCCAGATACAGAGATGCTTTGAAGTCCCAAAACAATGACTTTCATTGCTTTTCCCTTACACTGTCGGTTCCTATAAATTGGTGATGAAAGTGTGTGGCAGCAGCAGAGGACTTTCGGTCTCTATCTTTGAACAAAAGGAAGCCTGGATCAAGTCTGATTTTTGCGTTCAATTTAGCTTTCTGCAGTGGATTTAATGCAAAATGAAGCTGGCCCAAGAATTATACAATGGATTGAAAAGGCTAACTGAATTAGTGGGCTTAGAGGAATACATTTGTAAAGTGGCAGAAGTCCCCAGTCATAAAAAGGTTTCTTAAAATGGGATTTACTGGCTAATCACACTGATATTTTAGCATGTTGCCAGGCCTAAAAAAATTAGTCATGTTTGTTTATTTTGGTAAAGACTCTGGTTTAGGTTGTCAGATGGTTACTGTGCTAATAATGGGAACCCACCTTTTATTTAACCAGAATCATAACCACCCGATTAGTGCAACTGAAAAGTCGTCCAGGGGCTATGAGCAATACTTTTTTTTTTTTTAAAAAGCTTAATTCGACAAATGACACCCAGGCCACCTCGCAGGGTAATTTGGTATCACCTAACCTGACGAAAACGGTATTTCTCTTTCAAAAAAGCTTCTGCGAAGGAGTTGGGTTTTTGGGGTTTTTTTAAGGTGCTCCCACAAAAGGTGCAACTTAACAGTTTATCTCTGTGCGCGTCTTTCGAAGGAGGAGTTGGAAGGTGGCGGTCTAAGGAATACATGGTGTCCATCTGTTCTCGTGGAGCTGTTGGCACCGAGGTGGATTTGGTTTTTAATAAAATGCAGTTTACACGTTTCTAAATGAGGCATTCTGTGTTTGTGGAAAAGGATAAACTGTTACCTTCCCTTGGGGATTGTGTATCCCCGGCCTCCTTGAGGCAAGAGAATGGGCCATTGGAGAACTCCCTCATTACCGATTGTCTCAATGCAGAGGAAGGGCAAAGTCTTGGTAGCTTTTGATAACCAGTTTCAGCATTCAGCAGGCTTAGCTATTAGTCATGCATCTTAGCCTTTCCCTATTTACTTTCAAAACACTTAATAAAAATAATAAAAGATTAGGTATAAAATGAAATATTTGTTTGGTACACAGCACCTCGGTATCTGCAGTTTCCACACACTGCGGTGGTTCAGTCTTCTGGGATATTTCGTGTTGATAGAATCATTTGAATTTGTTACCAGTATTAACATAGGAAGCCCTGGAAAAGATAATTGTAGTTTCCTTAGCTGTAAAGGGCTTACTTACAAATCTGGCTTTGGAAAGTTATAGCTGATGAAATGCAGTTCAGTGGGGTAGTATTATAATCCTACCTTTTAGCCTTCATCCAGCATTAGTGGTTTATCTCAATGGGCATAAAATTAGAAACTAGTTCTTCTTGTCGTACAAGTCTGTGGGACTACAGAAAACGACAGATTTCTTTACCGGGCAGGGAGAGAGGCTAAAGGCAACACGCTTTTATAACGATAGCGATCGCGTTCAGGGGTAGGGACGCCACTACTTGGCAGCAGCACGCACGGCGCTTGGCAAATCAAAGTTGCAAAGGAGCGATTTTTCCTTTAAAATCGGCATCGCTGGCAAGTGCCGGTCACAATTAATAGGGCTGGCTGGTAAGTGAGGAGGGAGTCCTGCGGGAGGGTGCCCACGTAGCAAAAAGCCAGTCCTTGCCACCACACATGAAACAAAAAAAAAAGAAAGAAAAAGAAAAAAAAAAAAGGAAAAGTTAATCTCTCTGCTCCTTTTTTCCCGCAGCTGATACTTCCATCCTATACAAACTGCAGCCCGAGTTGTGAATCCTCTTTGCAAAAGCTGCGTCCTGTCCCCTCACCGCAACGTACCTTGCGAATGCCCGTCTTCCCCTTTGTAAACAAAAGAAACTGGTGTGTGTCTGGTTTTTTTCCCTAGCAGAATGGAACAGAGGAACATCGTGCTGAGCGATTACAAAAAGCAGCAGAACGGTTTAGAAATCCCGTTGTGTTCAGCAAGGACTCGGCCGTCAGAAAAACTCAGCTCCAGTCTTTCAGTCAATACGTGGAGAGCAGACCAGGTAGGAGAAAATATAAAACCTGTTTTCCCATCTTATGATTGAATAATATTTAACAATAAATATATGAAAACCCGATAATGTAAGTCCACATTTCAATACATAAATATCAAGCTTTATAATAATTTTACATGTCTTTCCCCTTTTTTCAAGAGATGAAAAGGCAGAGATCAATACAGGAAGATACAAAGAGAGGAAATGAGGAGAAGGCTGCGATAACTGAGACTCAGAGGAAGCCATCAGAAGATGAAGTGCTTAATGTATATTAATTTTTTGTCTGGTTTCATGATTGCTGATAATTCCAAACTGTATGTGGAAATAGTGCCTTTATTTGTTAAAATGAGATGTTAGGTTTTTTTAGATGTCAATCTCCAGTGCATTCAAAGCAGAGTGAGAGGGGTGCACTGTTGAATTAGTCTGCAGTGTGGTGATAATTGTCAGATAAAAAAAATGAATTTTTCAGAGTTCCACAGCCCCAGCTTCCTTGAGACATTTCCATCAGGGCACTTCCCATAAAGAGATTCCAGTATTGATCTACCGGGAGGATTTTAATTATTACAATAGCAGA